GGTGTTTGCTCTAGGTCTAAGGGGAGAAGCGCTACAGGGACATGTCCGCTTCCAGTAAGAATCATCAGGCCGTGATCACAGTCACCATGTGTCATGCTGGCTGCTGTGTGGGGCATAGGGTTGTGGGGGCCTGGGGCAGAGTGGGCTCAGGGAGACCGTTGGGAGGTGGTAGCAGTCCCAGGTGAGAGCAGCTAGCAGCTTTCATGGGGAAAGTGACCATAGAAAATGGAGAGAAGATTCTAGAGGAACTTTAGGAGACAAAGCTGGCCATGGCTCTCATTTCTTTTTGAACACATAGTGGGGCTCCCTGAAGCAATGAAGACAAAGATTTGTCCTGGAGTATGGGTGGAAATGATAGAGCTGACGACATGCTTTACTGCAGAAATCCCTTGCCCTGGCTGGCTGATCTTCTGGTCTGCCCTCTCCACTGAGGACTTCAGAGCAAGAAGGCATTGTGTGTGCTGCAGTGACCCGGAGGAGGTCCCAACTGCCCTGGGTCACTACTGCTAATAGTAATAAGTACCATTTATGGAGGGCTGGGGGCTGTGTAGACCTTAGAGACACGTGGCAGTTATTTAAATTCTTCCAACACAAGTTATTGAAATTTTCTTTGCCTCCGTTACCTGCTCTGTAAATTAAGATAATACTACTTCCGAATTTAGAGGGTGGTGGTAAGGGTTAGATGAAATAATCCACATTTAGCACAGTGACTGACACCTAGTAAGTGTTCGGTAAATATTAGTTACTATGATTATTGAAATAATGGTAACCTCCCTCTCACTAAAAGAAACAAGATGAAGACGAAATGTTTAATCATTACAAAAAATGTAAATAGCTTTACGCAGAGTCATGCAGCCTTAAGCAACTTACTCAAAACTGTGGCTTATAAGTATGGAGGTCTTTGACCCAGATGTGCGTGACACCAGAAACTATGTTTTTGACGTGCAAGGAAAGCAAGGAAAAAGCAAGGGAAGGGGACGATCTTTAAGAAAGATGCATGTTCCTTGAGATGTTTCTGCTGCTAGATCAGACTGCAGGCTCATGGGAAGAGCCCGTGCGGAGTGGAGACCCATGACCAGACACTGACTAGCACGGTGGCCTTGACAGTTTATCCTGCCCCACATACATGGAATGGTTCCCACACGCTTGTGAGCAGCGCAGGCTTAATCTCGAAGGTGCAGAGACATTAAAACAGGGAAACCTTTGCAGTTCTCCTGAGAGTCCTTCTGAAGATGGAGGTGCTACCCATAGGGCCCAGCTTCTCACGTGCCTTTCTCATGAAATACTCAGCATCACCTGAGGTAGGTAGGATCAGGGTCCTCACTTCACAAAGAGCGAACAGAGGCTTAAAGAGGCTAAATACCTTGCCGGAGAGCCACATCCAGAAGCTGATAGAGCCGGAATTTGAACCAGTGTTAGCTGGCTCTACTGGCCTCACCAGTTGGTGACGCTTGTCTCCATCTATGCTGCCCCCTCCATCCTGTGCTTACTGGAGGGACCCAGGGCCCTCCATTTCTCTCTGACCCCTGGAAAGGATCTGTTCTCACTCATGTGCAACCAGGCACGTTGCCCAGCTGGTGACCCCCTCTCTGACATTATTTGTTTGTAAAGCGGCCCAGTGGTGTGTTGGGGCTGGCTTGCTGTGGCCTGTGAGGGGTGATGGTTAAATTTTGAGGAATTTTGGGAGCCAGTAGACATCACAACGGCAGTTTGAAATGGGCCATAACGGGAGTATTGACATGAGAAATCCGCCAACACTATGGATGGGGGCTCCCTGATACTCCCCACTGCCACGGCCAGCACAGCACTTTTTTAAACCTCTGCCCACACACCACGGGGCCCTGATCTCACTGTCCTCTGCTAAAGAATGCCAGGCATCATGGGCCACTCTGCAAGGAAATTGGCAGGCACGGGGAGCTGCCTGCAAGCACACCTGCCAGTAAGCCATGACCTGCCAACTCTAGGCTTCCTTCTGGCCCCCGCATCAGTGCGAAGGCCCTTCCTGGCTCCACTGAGGACACCCGCACATTTCACTACCCAGACCCAAATCCGTGTTAAAGTAAGAGGCTCCATCAGTATGAACGTGGATATTTAAGGATGGATATTTGAGGTTAGAAAATGGTATTTAGAGTTGGAAAAAGACTTACTGCATTTGCAGAATTACAGACTTTTTTTCTGAAAAGGTGGGATTATTTTAAAACTGCAAGGAACATCATTTTACAGATAAGAAGAGTGAAAAAGAAGCAGAGACCTCGAGAGGGCCGATAGTTGGCTCAGCATCCTGCATTTCATCGTGCATACATATCTCTCTCCACAGACTTGCATTTAGTGACCGAGTAGAAAGAATCCAGGCCCCTGATGTTAGCCTGACTTTGAAGAATACTTTGATGTTTTCCTTCATTTGAAAGTGACTGTGTTATGCCACCCTGTATGCTCCTTCAGAGCACGATGATGATACAAATAATGGCTAATTTTTACTAAGTAGCTGGGCTTATGCTAAGTACTTCATATGTTACGTTGAACTCTATGAAATTGCTAATCTCTCGCCTTTTTTGATCTACTGAGTGGTAATTTCAAGTAGTTCAGTCTAAATGCATCCTATCTGGTAATCTTTACCATATTCTCATGAAGTGAATACTATTATCACACCTACTTTACAGATGGTAGGACTAAGGCTTTAATCTTTTAAAAATCGTTTCTTCCCACAAGTGTTATGCAATTGTTTTGTATAGGTGATACGTAGTGCACACTTGTGTGCAAATCAATGGCCCTAAACAACAGAACATACATAGAGCATGAATAGTAATAGCTCACACACCTGACTTTCTCAATGACCTTGGAAAAATTTCTAATGGATTTTTATAATATTTGAAGAAAGGCTTTTATCAATGTTGTATATGAATATAAACCATAGGCATTAGAAAACAAAACAAATTGATGTTTGTACATGATATATCTGTTATATCCCATACGGAAATGTTAGGAGCTACAGCTTATGGTTTCCTGATTTTTTTTTCCCCAGAATTAAGTGTTCTGGAATTTTTTTTTATAATAACTAAAGAATAAGTGAAGGGCACCTGGGTGGCTCAGTCGAGTTAAGTGTCTGCCTTTGACTCAGGTCATGATCCCAGGGTCCTGGGATTGAGCCCATATAGGGCTCCCTGCTCAGTGGGGAGTCTCCCTCTGCCCCTCCCCCTGCTTGTGCACTCTCTCTCTCTCTCTCGCTCTCAAATAAATAAAATCTTAAAAACATAAATGAATAAGGCAGTGATTTTACACCATTGCCTATATGCAAATTATAACCAACAAAATTCAGAATCAAGACCCATTTGGTTGTGTGATTATTTTCAAATAATATTGTACTGAATTCACCACCAAACAGCCCACAAACAGCAACACTGCTCAAAAATAATCAGCACTAACCAAAGCTGACGATGCCTGGAAAACAAATGTCGGGAAAACAAATTGGAGAAAGCTGAAAAATGGGCTCTGGAAAAATAATGAAAAGAAATGACTGCTCTTTCAGTATGAAACAAGAAGTTCTAATATCACAGTAAGAGAGAAAATTGACCGATGCCATGTGGTTTTTCAGTTGTGTATGATGAATCCTCCGAGTTGACTGTTAGCCCAATGTTAACTTAGTCAATAAATATGTACTGAGTATCTAGCAAGGGGGCCCTGTCCGTAAGTAATTCCATATGCCTTCCGATTGATTATTGACCATTACCAATGTGAGTCTGCTGAAGATGAGCGTGCCTGAGCCTCTACAGAAGCAGCAGTCTGATTTCAGCTATGGCATCCTTGGGCTCCATACCCAGCCTGGCCTCCTTTGAGGCTCCATTTCATTGCACACATCCAAGCCTGGCTCTCAAAAGATTCCAGATTCATGTCTATACCTATGAAATCAGATCCCAGCAAGGAATGGGGATGCCTTTGTCTCTAAGTCTCCACCAAGCCCCTAATGTTATTTCCCCTGCAGGAAAATATCAGTTAAAACGCTGCCTTCCCTCCCTAATGATGGGAAAAAAATAATACAATGATAGAGTCAAAAGCTTTGAAAACTGGCTGAGAAGGGCTTAACAGGTGCTAGAATGTTTAAAGAACAAAGGACTGTTGTAGGTAGTATTTTCAGATCTTTCATGTTGGAAAGAAAGAATCTGGTGCAAAAAGATACAGACATTTATTTGCTCAGGCTCAGTCACCTAGAGAGTAGAGTTTGGTCTAATAACAGTATTATTATCAGTGATAACAGAGCAACACGAGTAATTGTAACAATATCACTAATGTGGAATATAAGAATATCTCTAGGCATATAAAGATGCTAAGTAGCTATCTGGCTAAGAACCACTGGTCTATACTGCATAACATCGTGACAGTCCCTGTCTCCTGCGAAGTTTTCCAAGGAATAAAAAATTTACCATTGGACCTTGTAAATTTTAGATAATTAAATGCCCGGGGAATATTATTCCAAGATAGTAAGTGAGTAATGACCATTGGGACAAATAGAATTAAATTAATAAAAACATTACACTGAACTTATCACTTAACCATTGCAAGTATCAGTTTCCTCAACTATAAATTAAGGAAGCTGAGCGAGATCATCCTTTAGGTCCCATTAAATGCTAATATTTTATTAATCTATGTCCCATAAAATCTAGTATACTTCGGATGAAATTCAGATTCTATCCAATCATACCATTTGTCACATAAAATATTATAATCTTATAATAAACTTAAACTCGCAGGAAAAAACCACCAATGAATATTAAACTTATTCTTTTGCAGATATTAGAACTAAAGTCACCTTAAGATAACCCCCCCACCCCTGGACTTTTTTCCACCTTTTCTTCTGATGACTCTTACTGAGAGGCTGTTATTTAGCAAGCATGTCTGTGGCCCCTTTGGCTTGATTTTATTCCATGTATATCTTCATAATTCAGCCCACTCTCAATTAAAAAAAAATACTGTTTAAAAGAAGACAAGACAAAGTGCTCACATACCCCATGACGATTCTCAAAGTATGCCAGGCTGGTTTTGGTTAAAACAAAGAAACGGACTTTAAAGTTTGAGGGAGAAGTTCTTCTCTTTTGTTGTGATTTCTTGATGAGCTGTTCTTCCAGGAGGATAAAGTTGTTCATGATCCAAGTCTTTGGAAGGGAGGCACCATGGGCATCACCCCGTGGCACCTCCAGTGGAAACGGCTCTGGCACGAGGAACACGCTGGGGAGGCGGTTGATTTTCTGAGAGTTGTGAAAGGCCCCTTGCCTCCAGTGTTATCGTTTCATCAGTGTTCAGTCAACACTGTGGAGCTTCTCCTCTGATGTCAAAGGCTATAACCACATCCTTTCAAAATTCACAAAACTAAAAGACATATGTAAAAACTATACACACCCTTTGCTGTACGGTTTGGAAATGATGTTTGAAGAATCTTAGACTTAAAGTGGTAGGAAGCATTAGAGTTTAATCTTTACAGTCCTTGGTTTAGCCCGGTTGACGGTTAAGGCATTATTGCATGCGGGGTGGGATGACAGGCTGTGGAGCCAATGGGGATAGGCTGTGTGTTAGCTTCCTTCTGCTGCTGTAACAAATGATCACAAATTCAGTGGTTCACAATTTATTATCTTACAATTCTGTAGTTCAGAAGTCCAAAATGAGTCTCATCAGGCTAAAATCCAGGTTTCAGCAGGCCTGTGATCCTTTTGGAGGGTCTTTAGGGTAGAATCTGTTTCCTTGCCCCTTCTGCTTCTAGGATCACCCGTATTCCTTGGCTCGTGGATCCCTTCCTCCATCTTCAAAGCCAACAATGACTGGTCAAGTTCTCTCACCTTATACCACCATAAGCAATTCTGTCTCCCTGTTCCAAATTTAAGGACCCTGGTGCTTACCCTGGGCCTGCCAAGATAATCTAAAATAATCACCCTATTTTAAGGTCAGTTTACTGCAACCTGAATTCCATCTTCTACCTTAATTCCTCTTTGCCATGTAACCTAACACATTCACAGGTTCCAGAGATTGGGCATCCACATCTTTAGGGGATCCGTTACTCTCTCTACCACAGTTTGAATTCTGGTTCCACCATCTAACTAGCTGGGAGACTCTAGGCAAATTCTCAAGAGCTCTGAGTCTCAGGTTTTTCATCTGTGAAAGGGGATAAGAGTGTCCCTATACAAGGCACCACAGGGCTGCTCTCTGGTTTCCTTGCCAGTCTCATTTCACAGCTTGCTCACCCATTCTCACTCCAGCCCTCATGCATACCCCCAACATCTCTTCGAACATCTGCTCGTTTTGCCTTAAAACAGCTTCTCTGCCCTGCTTTGCCTGTTTTAACTCTAAATTATACTGCAAGTCTTAGCCTACATGTCACTTCCTCTGGGAAGCCTTCCTGGCATCCTTAAGTCAAAATCACCAATTATACGCAGATGAGCCCTTATAGCTTTCTCTTTATACCCATTATGACAGTTGTCATTGTACATTTTGGAGGGTGATTTTTGCATTAGTGTTTCTCTTCCCCACTATTCTAGAAACTCCATGATGGTAAAGACTGTGTGTGGTTTTGCTCAGTGTTATATATTCAGTAAGAATCACAATGCCTGGTACGTATAAAGGGATGTTAAAAAAAAAATGTGTTGAATGAATAATCACCAAACTGGGTTAGACGGTTAAAAAAGATGATGACCATAAAACACTTCAGAGAAATATATTGAAGTTTATTGTTTTGTGAAGTTTAAATGAAAGCCCATAGGAGTTATAAATAGATGATTACTTTCTTATCCTAAAACTTAGTGGAAGAGCAGAAAACCAGTACGAATTGCATAAAAAACAAGGTGCATTTGGGATTTGAGACAAAGAAACTTGTATGGAATCCCATTTCTCTTACGTATGAAGTTACTTCTCTTTGAGTAAGCTACTTATTCTCTCTGATCCCAAGTCTCCTTGTATCATCCTTTTGAGGCCTGAATTCCTTAAACTCTGAACGGTGGGAGCTAGTCGCATGTCTTGCCTTAGAAATAGTATATGGTTGAAGTACAATATGTGAGTCTTACTTCTGGCATGAAGGAAATAACCAAGAAATCTCAGTGGAAGCAGAGATGGCATATACTGGACAGGGATAAATAATGAAACATTAAATGAAAATTATTCCATCATTATTGCTGGATAGGAATGCAATTATCTAAAATTTTCCATTTTGAATGTAAATTACCAGACTACAGCTTAAACATATTAGATGCCCTACATAGTCAAGACACTCAGGAGTGTGGAGAAGGGGGATAATTTACATGATACCCTCTCCCACATTCTGAGGTTTTAAGATGTGTGTGGAAATACCCTGCCCAAAAGATGTAGTATTTTTTTTCTCTCTCTCTCTCTAAATCTGGGCTCGAGGCAAGGAATGCTGTTTTCTCTAAACAGTTACTCTCCCTATTTCTTTCTGGGTAACTGACTTCCTAAAGTTTATCTGGGCCTAGAGCTTCCAGAATAAAAGCTACATTTTTCAGTCACAAGACTATTTTTTAGCCAATGGAACATGGTAGATGTGATGAGCCCAATTTCCAGGGGATGTCCTTAGTGGCAGTCATCCTACTCTTTTCCTTCCTTCCTACTGACAAGAACGTGGATATGATGGTTGGAGCTGGAGCAGCTCTTTTACATCATGAGGTGAAAATTGCATGTTGAGGACAACAGAGGGAGGGTAAGGTAAAAGAGCTGTAGGTCATAATGAGCTTGGATCCTCTCTGCCAGCATGGAATCACGTTTTCCTTTTTTAACATAAAGAGAAATAAAACTACATTTTCTAAGCCTCTGTTATTTTGAAGTTCTGTCACTAACACCAAACCTAGTGTTACCTAATATAGTACTATATTTTAAAATAGACTGTAAATTCCTTTGAAAAGGGTAGATTTATACCTGTTTGGTTCAGGTTGAAAGATTTACAGACTTCACAAAGTGTTCTCATCTGGGAAAGCAAAATATCATCAGTAACCATTGTAATAGGTGCCTTTCATTTGCCAAGTCTTCATGAAGTGCAATCATAAGTAACTTTATTCTCTTTCTCATAATACCTTCAAGCTCATTCACTGGGATTTGTCTTTGTCCTCACCTAAATGTAACCCTAAAAGGCCTAATATTTTCTCATAGCTTTCAGAAAACATTCATAAAAATACATAATCCCTTTGTTCTGTTATTTTTTGTTTTAAGATTTTATTTATTTGAGAAAGTGAAAGAGTGTGTTCAAGCAAGGGGAGGGGCAGAGGGAGAGAGAGAATCCCAAACAGACATGCTGAGTACCCAGTGCAGAGCCTGATGCAGAGCTCCACCCCAGGTCACCCCGAGATCACGACCTGAGCCTAAACCAAGGGATGGATGCTCGACCTCCTGAGCCACCCAGGTGTCCCCCTTTGTTTTGGTTTTAGAAAGTCCAATTCACTGGAGCTAAATTCAAGAAGCTCCCACTTGTCAAAGATAGAACAATTGGGCATCAAAAAGAATGGTAACCATGAAGAATAGAAGAACAGCCAAATGTTAAAATCATGAGTTTATAAGATGTTTAAAAAAAAAAAATCTCGGGGCACTTGGGTGGCTCAGTGGGTTAGAGCCTCTGCCTTCAGCTCAGGTCATGATCCCAGGGTCCTGGGATTGAGCCCCACATCGGGCTCTCTGCTCAGCAGGGAGCCTGCTTCCCTTCCTCTCTCTGCCTGCCTCTCTGCCTACTTGTGATCTCTGTCTGTCAAATAAATAAATAAAAATCTTTAAAAACAAATCTCAACCTATTGATCACTTTTGGAGGATGCTGGAGAACCAAGGTATTGTTCTGAAAACCAGAAAACAAAGGGAAAGAATAAAACATGTCTTCTGCCTTTCTTGAAGAACCATATCTCAGTTTAGTATTCAAATATTTAATAAGGGAAGGTCTTTCTTTAGAGAAGAATATCAACTAATACATGAAAAGGGATTGATAGAATACTGTCATAGTGCAATCTCAATGACACAATGGATTTAGCCAGCAATCATCAGTGGTTGCTAAAATCATTATGTGAAAAGCCTGCAGGAAAATTTATAGTTTATACATTAGCTTGATAACACTGTAATGTACTGATAAATCTTAACACCACAGAGAGACAACTAGACATATTATGTTTCCTGATGCAATGCAATAGGAAGTACACAAAACCACCTACGCAGAAGTCTTACTCAAAAAAAAAAAAAAATCAGACCCAAATCTCAAACCCCTAGATCTAAATCCAAGCTTGCAGGAAATATAGGAGATAAAGGAACATGACAAATGACACAGACAGATGCAACTGAACAGGTCCAGAATACACAAAACACTGAAGACAAGTGACCTTGTGTCTGCAGCAAGTAAGTCAGAGAAAGAACTTGTAGATTAAAAGACTTTAAGAGGCATATCAAGCATGTGATGGTTTTGTTTGGATTTGGGTTCAAACAAATCAATTGTATGAAGTCAATTGTAAAAAGTCATTTCCTTGTTGTACAAAACAATAAGAAATCTGAAATTGCAATTTGATGATTAATTATTAATTTTTAAGGTGTGATAATGGCCCTGTTATGTTAAAAGTATCCTTATCTTGCACAGAAATATATTGAAATAATTATTTATAAAAGAATAAGATGCTCAAGATTAGCTTTTTTACAACTCTGGGAAGGAGGAGAAATATGTAGGGGAAGAGATGAAAAATGTTTTGTCCATGAGTTGACAATTACTGAAACTGGGTGATGGGTAGGTGGGGGTTCTTTATTCTATTCTCCTTATGTTGCTGTATGTTTGAAAATTTCCATCATGAAAAGTTAAAAAAAGAGAAAGCAAGACCAGTCCAGATCAGCATAATAATAAAAAATCCAAACATGTATTCAATTTAATGCTTTTCCTCAACCTAAGCATGAACCTGCTTCTGACTTAGAAGCATGGTGACTTTTCTACCGTGTCCTAGCTCCTCCTCTTTCCCTTCCCATTAGCCTGGCTCTGGACCTACCTGTTTGTGCTCAGGCTGTGGGGAAGAAGGGAACAAGGCACAGCATTCAATGAGACTACCGTTGTAATCTGGGGTCCATGCCCTCTGCATGTGGTGGATAAGCAATTTTTGTTTTTCTTTCCATAGTAAAATTTGGTCATGTGTTTTGTTGTTGTCATTATTTTCAGAGGGCTCTGACAGCAGTTCTCTTAATGTGGGAGATGCCCCTTGGATTGGGCAATGAGCCCAACCCTCAGTTCTTGGACATCTACTGCTGCAGCTTCAATGTACCTCCTGCTCCTTCCAGCTCTGCTGGGATCCCTTTCCCCGTCTTGGTTGTCCTCTTGGGTGA